TCTTCTTTTGGATGCTTGTATCCAATTCGGTCGGGAAGTCCCCACCCCTGGGATGTCTTGTCCTTCTCGTACTCTATTATTTACATCATACTTATTTCTTTAATTTCTACATTGTGTACCTTAGCCGCAATCAATTAGACAGGTACATGCTTCTGAGACTAAGTGAGAAACAATCATCCATGACCTTTTCATCAACAATTGGGATCTGTCAAAAGGTTTGCAATCCCTCCTGTAACCATTTTTTGGTTGCTTTAGGTGTTTCATGATGATCACGTGCATTTATCGAAGTTGTCTCAACATCTTTGTAGATTTTGATGGATATTTGTGTCGGAAATATTATGTTTATTTGTGCGCTTCATATTTTGTCAAGAGTATTTCTGAGGAGCTCAGCTGGGGTCCATAAGTAAGTTGTAAAACATTTTCAAGACTGTTGCTTTAATTTTTTAGATGCTTCCAAATTGCTTTTCTTCAGTGAAACCAGCAATGGAATATGCGTCCATTTGACCGTAGGACGTCTCATTTTGTTTCTAATTTGTTTGTTTCTCATTGCTTGTGCAGGTACAGGTACAAAGACTTTTTCTTTGCCATCATTATTTCAAGTTACTTCAAGATCTTTCTTGTTTGCATGATGGTATACTTTCGACAGTTCTAGTTATTTTCTTTTTGTTGTAGACATTGCTGTTTAATTAATCTAAAATGCATTGAATGAATACTCGTGTATCTTTCTGATATTCGTCGTGTTTTACTGCAGATCTGGGAATTTCCATCTCCAGTGATCTTCATTATAGATTTATTTGTTTTATCATCCAATGTAATAGCAATTAAAGGCAAGGAAGACTTAATTTGTCCGCAGCAGATAACTCTGGGGTCTTGGATGGTTATTGTATAGATTAGGAATTTTGCCAAATTCACTTCTAAAATCTTTTTTGTGAAGCAGTGATCACGGAGTCAGCTGTGAGTAGATGCGTTGGAACTTGCTTGTGTGCTCATGGAGCTAAGTTTCTGGCCACAAAGCTTTTTGAGAAATGAAGTTTAAAGATGGACACAGGCACAAGAACTTGGGGTTATGTGAGGTCAGACTAGATTCCAAAACTAATTATGCAACTTTAAGTTTAGAAGATGATGATATGGATTGTGGTTTCTTACACAGCCAGATTGATGAAAACTATTTCCAGAATTGGATCGGATATTTTAAGGAGTCCATAACTTTGGTAGTGGATGTGGTTGGCTTTGAAAGGAGGTATGTTTTTATACTAGTGACATTTTGTTAATTGTAAAGACGTAATTGTTATAAATTTATTTACTAGAACTCCCTTTCTAAAATGGTTATAACTGATGATGTTGGATTGGCGCTCAACTCATCCGTATATCTGAGAAATGATATAAGATGATATGAACAAGACAAGATTGATCTGATATACTGCTTCATGAGCTTGTTTTTCTTTTTCTTTTGTTTCTTCTTCTAAGAATTGGGAAATTAAAGAAGAGACTTTTAAGGTCGAATCAATTAAAGATTTAAGATTTAAATGAGGGGGAAGGGTGTGGAGTAGAGTGAAGAGGGGTAGGAGAGATTTGTGTGAGGTGAAGTTGTGAGAGTGAAAAGGGTAAGAGAAGGCCATCCATGAAAACAAGACAAAACTGGTTTTATACACTGATACAATTGTGCAGTCTCTCTGAGTAACTTTTGCACATCTTGGAACTCTTGTCTAAAACTACTGCCCTCATTATTTTTTCCTAAGCCAACTTCGAACCAACTACTCGTCGCAGTTCATTCCCGGCATTTAAGTGTATAGAATCCAGTTGTGACAGTGAAGGGAAACATTGTTTTGTTTTCTACAAGCCCACCTGCGGACAACAAATATTAGATCGGCCCAACCGTCAAAGGTCATCAGGATTGGGCAAATAAGGCCCAAATTGCAGTTTCTCCTTCATTGCCAAGTTTCCAATCAAATCTTAATTCTTTGGTAGTTAAATATTTTGCTCTAACACCACATTTTTGTAACTATAGATTTACAAAACCTCCTCTAAGTAGGTTTTTATTACACAATTAACCATTTTTTTTATATAAAAGTTTTATGCAGAGTAAAGTAATAGAGATGTGGAAGTTTCCTTTTAAGAAGCTCTTCCAGAATGTAGATGGAATGAAGACAGGTGGAGGAAACAGTGAACCCTAAATGATTTGAATAAAAAGGGGGAAAAGACAAATTTATGGGTTGAATTAGGGTGGTTGGAGTAAACCAAAGGCTGATTAGTCTATTTATTGAGAAAAAAGAGAAGAAAGGGAGGAGCTTTTTGAGACAGGGTGGAGCCCACCAAAGGTGTGGTGCCTCACTCTATCATTATGGGATCTTAGAATTTGATGGAAAGATGCAATTATTGCTGCATGGAATTCCAAACAAAAATAAATTCCAATTCCAATTCCAATTCCGAACCCCCTTTCTTTTTTGTTATTACACTTTGAATTTCTTATCCACAACCCATGAACAACAAAGCGTCGCTTTCATAATTTTCCACCCGCAACCCTAGTTAATTAACAATATCATTACCTTGTAATTGCTGCAATTAACTACAAAATGACCGTAAACTCCGTGATCCAACCCTTCATTAGGTTTATATGGGCATTATAATGCTTATTGAGACATAATTATAAAAATCTGAGTCACTATAATACTTATATAGATATATCGACTTAGTATAGTGCTAAATGAGAGCTCTTGAGTTTGAAGTTTGAATATGAGAATAAGTGGCATGAGTCTTATAAAGTTTGAAAGAGTGCAATTGTAAGACTAGAAAAGAGGAAGACCGAAAATTACTATGTACAAACAAAGTTACAACGCAAAGACACTCCTCGATGTGCGTGGTCTCGAGTTGAGAGCTGACTTCTGAGGGAGTAAGAAGGGCTGATGGATGAAGACGTTTTTTTCTCCCCTTCCCAGTTTCCACACAACTCCGTGACCCACAACCCAGTGTGCTTTTTGGTTTCTCCCCAAAGGCAGCCATGATTCCAAACAACCAGGTCCCTCCTCCCCCCCCACCTTTCCCTTTCACTCACATTAAGGGTTATTGTTTTTGTATTTCGTAGTGCTTGAGGGACCTCTCTTCCTTCTCAACGAATCTTCCCTTCACTGCCAACCAGAAACCAGCTCGTCCTTCATTTGGGACACACAAACAACACACATCCCAATCACGTTCAACTTTATTCTACTTTTCCTTCTCGATCCTTGTTACTTGTAACCGCAATGGGCAGGCCAGCCTTTAATCTACTTTTTATCCTTTCACAGTTTAATATTTAATCAATCCTTCTAATCATTGCAAAACTTTCAGAATTAACAATTCTATCTTCCACCTTCCACGTTTATTGCCCATCTATGCTCATCATTTACCCTATATCAAAACTTAACTTCTTAAGTCCTACAAACCATGAATTACAAATTAAATTTGAGGTTACTCACATGGGTTCACTAATAATCACAACTTCTACCTTTTCAAATTCCTCTAACTAACAGCTTTCGTCTTGTTGACAAAAATGTTGCAGGAAAGGAAATGACACATGTGGAGATGGATATTATATTGTCTCCATTAAATATTATATTCTATCGGAATCCTATGAATATATATATATATATATATATTCAAAAGAGATTGAATAATCATTGTACAATGATATAATCTACTACCGAAAAAAGGAAAAATAAAAGGGGTCAATAAATAAGACAAGGTGGAAAAAAATCTTGGTTACTTTTTTTTCTGAAGAAAAGGAAAATGTTAATTACTAGTTCTTATGATCCATCAAAGGTCAGTGGTTGCACAGTAAAATAGAGAAATTTAGCTTTTTTTTTATTTATTTAAATATAATTTTTTAAGATATTTGTGGATTAGATTAATGAAGCGGTCCAGCAGCACATGAATCTGAAGCCTCAAAATCAGAGAAAATCCAACTCAGATCCTGTGAAATGGCTTTTGACGTCGGTGTGGGCCGCGAGCAAGATACTCACTCACTCACTCACTCACTCACACACCCTTTACTTCCACGTCAACCATTCCAAAGCTGTTCAACAATTTTGTTTTGACATATTTTATGTATGGGCTACTACGCCTACGCGCCTCTCTTTTTCTCTCTCATTGCATTCTCCCTCCCTTTTCCATTCATCAAGTCATGAGTGTAGTTCTAAAGTTTTCCTATACAATTATTGTTTCACTTTCAACTCTCCGCTCCTTTTTCCTTCCTTTTTGCCAATCAAAATGTTGCTCTTCTTCTCTAATTTCATGTTGTATTTAATTTTAATATGCAACACGAATGTAATATTAAAAAATAAGGAGGAGAACTAATGTCACATAAGCTGGACTCAAGTATTTGCGTATTAAGCTTGTTTGGGGCGTGAAAGAGAGAAAAAAGGGAAATGGAAAGAGAAGGGGGAGAGTTGATATTGGAATTTGAGTTGAAACAGGTTTCATCATCTTCCTTTGCACAAATCTACAGCCCCTACACAAACCCAAAAGTTGTAAAGTGATTGAAAGAGAGATAAAGTGATGCATTTTTGAGTCATCCCTCATTTGGTTACCTCCAAACTTTTGTTTCCTCCCAACCCCATTGCATCCCACAAATCACACTTACTTCAAATGTCACTAATATCTTCTTCAATGTTTATGAGCTACCAATAGCGTAGTTGACACCCAAGGTTTCTTTTTAAACAATTTGTTGTGGTTTTGTAAGAACTAAATACTAATGAAGGATATTTAGATAAAGTAGGAAAGGGGAAAAAAAAGAAATGTAGAAATGAGAGGAGTGTTGGGGGAGGAAATTGTTAAAAGAGGGTAAAATAAGAAAAGAAGATTGGAATATTTTGAATAGCTTTTGGAGAAGGAAGAAAAGAAGTGGCGTAGACCCGCATTATGGAGCAGCTGGCATATGATATGTTTGTTTTCAACATGTACATAATTGTAGTGTGCACAAACTGAGAGATATATTACAAATTATTTTTTATATATATACAGTTTCTGAAAACATTCCTTTTCGCATTTACTGGTTGACCCAAACGCCACCCTCACCTGAATTCGTCACCATCAACAAGGAGAAGAAAGCATATGTTTCTTTTTCTTTTTCTTACTTTCCCACTTTCCTTCCTATAATCATATTCTGAAAGACCAATGGAAACTGGATCACAAATATCAGGCCTTCCCAGTTATCAACTTCAACTCTCCTTCCACCTCTCAAATGCACCTCCTCTTCCCCAACCCATCCACCAAATGGGATTCGTTCACTTCCAAGACCACACCCAGGTTTTGAGCTTCTTGTCACCCAATACCGCCGCCACCGCCACCATGCCACCTGCCTTTACAACTTCTGCTCACGCCCATCTCGTTAGTAGACCTTCTTGGAGCAACGAGCAGGTGGTGTTATTGAGGATTCAACAATGCTATTACACCAAATTCAATCATATGTTTGTAAAGTAAAGAAAAGAAAAGTGGAATGATTGTCCATGTCCTTGTTATGTTTTGTCAGCGTGCGTGTTATAATTGACGTTTGGGTTTGTGGAAAAATTCAGGTGGGAACACAGGATCCGAAGCCCGGCAACGACGAGAACTGCAATGGTAGCGCTAGCGACGGCAGCAATTCATGGTATACACCGCTTTCCCCCTACCTTTCACATTCTTCATATTATTTTTGCTTTGTAATTTGTTTGAAAAACTGATGGATGTTGGGATTTGCAGGTGGAGAAACACAAATGCAGATAAGAGTAAAGTGAAGGTGAGGAGAAAGCTGAGAGAGCCGCGTTTCTGTTTCCAGACCAGAAGCGATGTAGATGTGCTCGACGATGGCTATAAATGGAGAAAATATGGCCAGAAAGTCGTCAAGAACAGCCTTCATCCTAGGTACTCTTCTTCTTCTTTTCTTTCTTTCTTTTAATGTGTATATATATATATATATATATATATATATATATATCTGGATATGGCATTGGTATAATAACCCTTGTGTGCTTACCACATCCCTGATGGATTAATCATTTTCACTTGCTCCTCCGCATGCCTACTACTTAGTTTCATGAAAGTAGTTGAATTAATTAGGATATAAGTTGCATTGTATGTGTATAGGGGTGGTTAGGGAAGTAAAGAGAGTGACATTGGAGCAGATAAAAAAAAAGAGAAGAGAAATGCATGAAGGCTGAAGAAGAGGGTGATTAAAGTGAGGTTTGTTTGTTTCATACTTTTGTTGCAGAAGCTACTACCGTTGCACGCATAGCAACTGCCGAGTGAAGAAGAGGGTGGAGCGACTGTCGGAAGATTGCAGGATGGTGATAACCACGTACGAAGGTAGACACAACCACTCCCCTTGCGACGACTCCAATTCTTCGGAGCACGAGCCCTTTACATCCTTTTGACTTCAATCAATCACTTTACCCTTCTCTCTACCTCTACCTCTACCTCTACCTACATTTTTATGTATAATTTTCTTTTATCTTTGCTTCCTCATTTCATTTCGCCTTTCTTTGCTTGTATAATTATTTCTTAACTTTCTCATTTTTCCTTTTCCTTTTCTGAGAAAAATATGTATTTAGTTGTTTAGACATGAGATGACATGAGAAAATGAGAAGGACCCCACTCCACTCCACTCCAAATTCTACATATATTCTTTCTTTCTTCTTCTTCTTCTTATTGTTACAAACGAGAATGAAGTCCATTTGGATCAGAATCTGAATGGTGGGCGTGCTGGCGTTGGGCTGCCACGACGCCCACTCCACCCCAATATCACTTCTGTGGGTAGCACAAAGCCCAACGCCTAGCCCCTGCCCATGCCATCCAATGTTCCCCACATTCCCACCCCTACAATTTTTTCTTAAAGCCGCAATTTGAGATCCATCTCACTCCTAATTTACCGTCCACCATCCACGTCTTCTGATTTTAATTTTGATTCCGTAACAGACCCCACTTCAAAACACATCTGTTGGAAACTACTTAAAACTAACGATTGGTACACTTTTAGAATACATACAATACAACCAAATAGTTTAATCATACAAACTTTAGTTCTCCCTGGTCTTTATAAACTAGAAATTGTCTAATACAAATCAAATTGTTTCAAAGCGTGAATGTTAAGAATCAAGACAACATAAAAATTCTAGATTGTCGCTGCTCCTTCACGACAATCTGCGACAGCAAAGCACAATTGAGGCGATGGTGTCGCTATAGACGTGAGATGGCAATTGTGGTGACAAGGCCCCTATGAACAAAGGAGAGAAATCGACAAGTGCGAAGAAAAAAGGATGAGCAATGACAATGGGGAAGTCATGCGAACGAGGGAGGAAATTCCAGATTTGCGTTTGCCCAATTGAGAGTGAGCATAAGATATGAGTGAGAAGTTTCAGATTTGAGCAAAGGAGAGAGATCATGCAGACAATGAACGACTAGCATAAAATCCAACAATTGCATAATTACAGGGTAAAGAGGAGTTGTGAACCTGCAAGTCAATGCCTATATCAAACCTGCCGGTCTTCGTCTTTTTCTAACACTTACGGCATAAGCGGCCAAGAAAGAATGAAAAATGGTGAAAGTACAGGTCCATATGGTAACCATGCCTGTCACTTTTCAGTAGCCTCATAACTAAATCATGGACTTGTGTTGACGGCCACAGAGTAGATATTAGTCTTTCAGTAGCCTCGGAACTAAATTATGGACTTATATGTTGACGGTCACAGAGCAGATATCTGTCTTCAAAACGATGCAATTGACCGATGATTCTCATTCAAAAGAACGAAGACAATGTTCATGAATCGCAATTTACTGCATTGGACAAATCCTAGATCTGCTTTATCAAATATACCAATTCGAAAGTGGAATATCTAACTATGAGGTGGATTCAATAGTGAAAGAACACAGGAATCTGAGATGCTCATTTTAACATTGACGACCAATTACTTTCAGACGCCAGCAAATTATCCTGCTATATGAGATTTAAAAGAACTCGAAGTCAAGATATTGACCACCAGACTTGACAACATCTGTGCCAACCATCCTCTTACTGCTGCTGCTAACGCCTGTTGCGTCAACTACCCCAAACTTGGGCAGTTCGGCCTCCATAGGTCTTGGCACTTCTGGGGGCGTGCTGCATCGTATCAAAGCCCAATTCACACCTTCAAAGAAAGGATGCTGCTTGATCTCGGCTGCTCCCCTCTTAACTCCGAGCCGATGTTGTGGCTCCTTTACTAGCAAACCTCGAATAAGATCTCGGCTAGCATAACTAGTTGCTGGAGACTCTGGGAACTTCAGTTGCTGCCCTACGACATTGAATAGTGTGGCTCTGTTTCCTGATCCTTTGAATGGGGTTTTTCCATACAATAGTTCATGCAAGAAAATGCCAAAAGTCCACCAATCAACAGCACTTCCATGTCCCTCTCCTTTAATGATTTCAGGGGCTAGGTATTCATGGGTGCCAACAAAAGACATGGATCGGGCGGCGGTCGGCTCTGCCACCAGCTCAGGAAAAGTACTGGATTGCAACCTTAGCTCGCTTCGAGGCTTGGGACTTCTCTTTTTGCTTTTCTGAGGGAAGAGTCGTGGAATAAAGCATGCAGGTTGGATGCAAGCTGATGATGGCTCGATACAGGCAGGCTGGACACAGAATGCAGCTCGTTTCGATGGGTCAGAATCATGTGAGGTTTTTATTAGGGTGGGTGACACTGCACATCTTAGTGAAAGGTCAAAATCTGAGAGCATTATGTGGCCATCATCACGAACCAGTACATTCTCTGGTTTCAAGTCTCTGTAAACAACTCCCAGCATGTGAAGATACTCGAGGGCCAGTAAAACCTCTGCTGCATAAAACCTGCAAATACAAAAAACAATTTGTATAAGGAGTTAAGGACACATTAACCCTCTGTTGGACGGACACAATGGTAACAAACAGTTAGCTCAAAGTTCTTTTTATTTATTATTACGATTAAAAAAAAAAAAATCAGTAAAAGAACATAATGAAGAACACAGCCTAAAAGCCACGAGGGGAGGAAACCCCATGCCTCAAGAATTCATTACTTTAGAGGCATTTCTTAGAATCAACTAAAATATAGTTTACAAGTAAAATACTACTCGTTGACCCTGGCCAGTTAACGTTCATCCTACATCAATAATATAAAGAATATGTAGATTTATTAAGAATATAGACTCATTTTCAAAAAGAAAGGAAAGGAATATGAGCTAGGAGGTATCACACAATATCAAACAGAAGCCCCATATTCCCTGCCTTACTTTATCTACCATTAGCTTGGATCATTGAAATTCATAACCAGGAAGGAACAGGAATAACACCTGAATCAACCCTTTTAGTAACTACAAACATAGTGAATATTAACATTAATAGTTAAGTATCGGAAAAACATTCAAACTCCAATGATGAGACAAATCAAAAAACAACCAAGTACGGACTGTTCTATCAGGCTCTGCCCGACTATCATATTTTGGTTTTACAGAGTCCAACCATCAAACCTAACCAATACACTTTAAAAGATATGTTAAATTATCAAAAGTAACCAAATTATAGTCAAAGTTTGAAATTTTCATTTCAGACCTTGAAGTTTTGACTTTATTTCATAACTGAGGCATTTGCCTTTAAATTTTGAGTTTGTATCTACTTATACATTGCTTAAGTGAACAAATCTAAACATGTATGGGAAATTAATTTTGAGTTTAGGATTAGCAAAAACATCATAAATGTAAGAATAAAAAATTGGGAGCATGGAGTTGAGAGGAAGGCGATATCTTGTATGGTTCACATAAGCATGTACAAACTTTTCCGTCTATAAATTTAATGGAAAAAGCCTACAAGGTTAGTTTTGAAACAAACTTCCAACTTCAGAGGTTAAATTTGAACTTTTAAAAGTTCAGGGTATAATTCAAATCAACTCCATAGTTCAGGGGTAGTTTTGATAATTTAACCTAAAGGTGTTGAAAGTCCGCTCTTTAGTAATATGTGGAAAAAGAAAAACAAATGGGTTGTTCAATCGGGAAACGACTGTAGGCAGTTAGAATTGAAAGACGCTAGATGAAAACAGGCAGTGGAGCATGCCCGATTGGAGTTGGATTTTTTATCCCTTCCAGAAACTGTGTTGAATGAGATCAAGAGGAAGGGGAAAAAATGGAAAACAACAACAACAACAACAACAACAACTGAATTCAGATATAAGATCGAGGAAAACATGTAATTAACATTAATTTAAATATGTGCAAGTCAAGTCAGAATTGCTAGCAGGCAAAGCACCCAAGGAGTCACTAGAGGAATGCTGTTTATTACTTTTTCTCATTTAAGTATTTTCCGTACCTCGCAGCATACTCAGAGAAGTGTTTCCCTGGCTGCCGTTGCCTCAAAGTGTGCAGGTCTCCCCCTGGACAATATTCCATTACTAGACAGGAAAATCTGTCGGTTTCAAAATGGGTGTACAACGTCGGCAGAAATGGATGGTCAAGTAACTGCAAGATCTCCCTCTCTGTCTGAGCTCTCGTTAACTTCTTCCTTATAGCAAGTGATGCCTTGTCCATTACTTTCATTGCAAAAAAACAGCGAGTCCCACTTAGCTCTGAGAGGTAAACACTACCAATATCACCACATCCAAGTCTTTTCAGCAGTCTAAAATGGTTCATGCCTAATATTCCATCTCTTGCTCGAATAGCAAGAATGGCTTTCCACCTAGGATCGTTTCCTTTGTGGGGCTTATTAGCACTTCCTGTAATGTTGCTCCAACAACTATCATCACTGAGACCACTGCTATCACTAGCTCGACTAATACTTGTTTTTGCACTCTCGAGAGAGTCTCCTCTAATGCTTCCTTTAGTACTCTCACAGTTCCTTTCAATACTCATTCCATCACTTCGGTATGTGCTAGAACAGCTATTAACTATGCTCATAGCTGTGACAACTCCGCTACTATCAATGCTACTGTGTGGACTTACATTGCCACTTGGGGGCAAAGAAGCATCCCAAACACATTCCTTCTCCTCAGAATCTGGGGGAAGGAGAGAGGTTTCTGTAATTTGTGATGCACGAGGAATTGAAAAGGGGGTAGATAAAACACCCAAGTCATGCGGCTCGTCAACTAAGCTTTCTGCAGGGGAGAGAGCAGCAGGGCTTGGTTTCTTGTCTGGAACCCGGATTGAAAGATCCTCAAGAAAGGGGCCATTCACGGAAAAACTCTTCATCAAGCAACAGGGGTCTGGTTTATTTTGTCCTATGGGTACATAAACAGTTCTCATTAGATCCATATCCACGGGCTCTGGCGGGTGGCTAGCCCCAGAGAAGGAACTTGGACCACCTTCCTCAATTAAAGATCTACTACCCTTTAAAGTGACACCACGCTTTGGTTCTTCCTGACCCAAGAAAGAGGATTTTCCCTTTGATATCCGTATAGGTGCAGAAACTTCTGGATCTTGAAGTCCTTGTCCAATTGATCTTCCCACGTCTCTTACCTTAGCTGAGTGCATATTCGACCAATGGCCAGCTTGCTTGGCTGAGGCCACATGTGCTTTTGGTATATCATCCAAAACACACAAATTTCCCGGAAGAACCTTTGATTCTGGAAGCATCTCTATGGGCAGTAATAACGGAAGTGGTTTTGACTCTGGAATCCTCTTCA